CTTGCACTGGCTGGCAGTGTGTCTTGGTCACGATGCATCCTTGCAGAAGCATTCCTCACAGTGGATGTGGAAGTAATTTTTCCCAATGCAAAGAAGATAATCTGGATCAATCGCGAAGTCAAAGCCATAGGTGTTTCAGGATAAACCGGTTTCAACAGTCCTAAGATCCTTTTTCCTTTAACAGCTTTTTTTCCCTTTTTCACAACTGTGCAGTCACTGCCCTATTCTATTCTGAAAAACAAAACCAAAAAAAATTTTTTTTTTGAAGATCAAGTTTTTCATTGGCACGGAACCATTTGGAATAAACCCAAGAGACAGTGGAATGCTGGGTGTCTCCTCAAGTGGCTTCCTCCTCTTTCACCGCATTTGACTAATCTTTGTCAATAATCTCATCACAGCCGAGCTCTTCGGTCAGGCGATTGACCACCATCAGTGAAAAAAGCTCTTCGATAAAAGCCAGCTGATCAAACGGGGTCTTCTCGTAATGCATCTGAAAACCGCCGTCCCCGGCCGCCTCTCCGGCGCTGGATGTTCTCAGAAAGATCTTGTTGGCTTCGTCCAGCGCCACGGAGGCCCCCCGGTAGCCGGGCCCGCGCCGCTGCGCCTCCTCGGGGTAGTCGTAGTCGTCCTCCCAGTCATCGAATTCCTCGGCCTCGAACTCGGGGCCGGCGAACACGGCTGGCAGCTCCCCGGGGTCGGGCCGGCCTGCAAGGCCTCGGTCGCCCGCGGCCGCCGCCATGGCCTGGGCCCCCTCCTCCTCCATCGGGCCTTCCTCCTCGGGCCCAGGCGGGCCCCGGTGGCGGGGGTGGTTCGGGGACGGCTCCCGGTTCCCGCCGCCTACCTCCATCTGCGGAAGGTCGCCCTCGCCGGGCATCACATCCATCTGCAGGTCATTGCTCTCTCGGTACAGCTCGGACAGCTCGTGCATTGCGGCCATGGCGCCAGCGGCTCAAGCTCGGGCAGGGCGTGTGCTGCAGGCTCGGAGCGGCGGGCGTGCGGGTGTGCGCGTGCACCGGCGGCGTGCGCGCCCCCTGCGTCAGGGTGACCCCCAGACGCCGCCCCCCGCCCCGCGCGCCGCTCGGCCCGGCCGCCCGCTGTTTCACGGGGGGGTGCCTGCGTGGCTTGGAGGTCTGTGTTTCGTCCGATCAAACGAATGTTTAGAAAGACTGCGCTTGCAAGAGCGTTACTTTGTCTCCGTGTCACCTAACAGTGTTGCTGCTTATGATGCTACAAACTGGGAAAGACGCGCCTCTGTAGCCACGCATCCTCCTCCTCCTCCTTCCCGCTTCCTTCCCGGCTCCTCGGGCTCCTCCTCCTGCTCCACCCCAGGCCATCGCGCCTGCTCCGGGGTTCCAACTACCTTTTGTCTGCGCAGATGACGCCTGAGTCCACGCCTGCAAACCGCACAGTGTTCTCAACCACAAAGCAGCATGCTAAGAATGGGTCCTTTTTTCTTTTCTTTCGATGTTCCTCATTAGGAAAAGTTAAATTCACAAATAAGCATATATTTTCCGTGCTCTTTTAAAGAAGTTCTAGTGAGGATATACTCGGTCCCATTTCTTTTTGCAAGAGGTAACGCCCCATTATTATAAATCTGATGTGTATGCTTTAAATTCTTTTTCTTTGCATTTACATGGGTCTTAGGTCCTCGTGGGAAATGTCTTTTTTTTTAATGTCTCACATAACTGTCTTCAATTTACAAGCCCAAACCCTCAGCAATGTCTTAAAGATTTAGCTTAATAGCATTTCCTTTGTATAACTATACTATGGTTGACCTAGCTATGCAAAAATAATTTTCCAATTTTTTAATGTTATAAACTGGCTAAATGAACATCCACATATGCCAGTTTCTCTAGAATAAATACAGTATTTGGAAATGGAAAGGTGGAATCACAGGGTATGCATACTGTAGTCTTAATAAATACTGTCAAATTGCTTTCTAAAGTTGCTATACAAATTTAAGTCCTGGCCAGCAGTGTTTGAGAATATCCACACCCTTGCCACACATGATTTTGCTGAACTTGGACAGTTTTATCAATTTAATGTCTCTTGTTTTATTTTGAATAGTCTTGATTTCTTAGACATCGATTATTTTTTCAATGTTTATTGAATATTTGTATTACTTCTGAAAATTAACTGGCCTTACTTTGGGTTTGTTTCTTTTTCGTATTGGTACATAAGAACTCCTTATAAACTCTGACTACATGAATACTTTGGTTTTACATGTTGTAAATATATTCTCTCTTCCTGTTGTTTGTCCTGTTTCAGGGGTCTTTTCTAATACAAAGTTTTAAAATGAGTTTTTATGTAATCTAATTTGAGGGGATTTTTGGTTTGTCTTCTATTAAGATGGGGTTTTCCTATCTCAAAGATCACAAGCATAACCTTTTATCTGCCTTCTGATGTATTTGTAGATTTTTAATGAATCAAACATTTATTTATATAGATAGTATGACGACAGGACTTATTTATATATTTTTCCATATAAGCCAGCCACTCCACTAATTTAATCACTTATCCTTTTGTCTGTTAGATGCCACATTTATCATAGATTAAAAGTCCATGAATATGTGTCTGTTTTTAGACTTTGTATTCTAATGAAATCCGTAGTTTTATAATATGCCTTGCTTATAAGGAAAATCTAGTCTCTTTGTTCTTTTTAAAAAAACACATTTCCATTGATTTCAGAGAGGAAGGGAAAGATAGAAACATCAATGAGGGAGAATCATTGATCGACTGCCTCCTGCACGCCCCTCTATTGGGGATCGAGCCCACAACTTCAGTGTGTGGCATGTGCCTGTGCCTTGATTGGGAAAACCATGACCTCCTGGTTCATTGGTCGATGCTCAACCTCCGAGCCGCACCGGCCAGGCTAGTCTCTTTGTTCTTTAAAAATGTTCTTTAGCTTTTTTTTGCATATTCTTCCATGTGAATTTTAGAAGCAGCATGAAAAGTTTCCTGATTGACACTGGTGGAATTTTTAGTGGAATTGCATGGAAATTACAGATTAATTTGGGGAAGAATTGGCATCTATCTGTACAATATTATCTTCTCATCCATAAAGGTGATATGTATCTTTTTTACTTTTTACTTATTCAGGTAGTATTTATACCTTCCAATGAAGTTTAAAAAAAAAACAAACTTTACACAGTTCTTTTTAGTTTATCTGTAGTTACTTTTGTAAATGTACCTCCTCTACCCCCAAATACAGTGTCTAATTGGCTATTGCTGATATAAAGGAATGACATTGATCTTTGTATGTTGATTTTATTTTTAGTAATCATTTTAACTGAAATGTGAATATCTATAATAATAAAAGTGTAATATGCTAATTAGACCAGACAGCCGAATGACCGTCCAGAAGTCCTTCTGGACAAAGCTGGGGCTGTGAGGTCTGAGCCCCTTGCATAATTTTGTGCATCGGGGCCTCTAGTAGAAAGCATAAATATAGAAAAGTTGCACACATAATAATGATTTTCACAAAATGAACATACTTGTGTAACTATTATCCAGATAAAGAAACACAGTATAATTCCAGAAAACCATTTTCTCTCTCTTCCTTTGCGCCAGAAGTAACCAATATCATGACTTCAAACAGTATAAAATAATTTTGGCTATTTTGAACTTTATATAAATGAAATAATTCAGCTTATATTTCTTTGTGTCTGGCTTCTTTTGCCCAAGAAACATGTTGTTGCTGTGTAGTAGTTCATTGCTTGAATATCACTATAGTCATCATTGTGACTGGTTCCAGTTGTGGGCTATTACGAAAAGGGCAGTGCTTATGTTTTTAGCACACATTTTTGGTGCACACATTTACACAATCCTGTTGCATATACATTTAGGAGTAGAATCACTTGGTCATTTTATATAAGCTACTTGAGTATATTCTGTTAAACACTTTTGAAGACAGGACTAGTTAATAGGTGCACAGTTGATATTTTAATGAACCCGCAAAACAGTATGACAAATACATTTCTCCAAATAGGTCATTTCACCCTGGAGATTATGAACAAGTGATCCTAGAATGTCAAGTAAAGAGATAATCTTCTTAGTTAAATAATGCAGTTCACTTGAATAATGTTACTTCATATTGGAAATCTTAGTGTTAATTTCTTAGGATACTTTTGGTGGTGAATGACTGAAAATTCAATTCAAACCAATTTATATAAAAATAAATTAGAAAAATGATAAAGGGGGACAGGAATTGTATTGGTTTTAATGATGAAACAAATGTTACAACCAGAGTATTTATTTATTTTTATTGAATTTATTGGGGTGACATTGGTTAATACAGTTTTGTAGGTTTTAGGTATACAGTTCTATTATACATCATCTGTACATTGTATTGTGTGTTCACTGCCCCAAGTCAATTCTCCCTCCACCCCATTTATGCCCCCTTTACCCTCTTTTACCTCCCCCACCCCCTTTCCCTCGGGTAATCACCATACTGTGGTCTATGAGGTGTTTGTTTTGTTTTTTGCCTTAATCTCTTCACCTTTTTTACCCAGCCTCCCCACCCCCACCCCTCTGACAGCTGTCCGTCTTATTTTTTTCTATTTTCCAATTGTCAGCTGATTTTCTCCAGAGGGAGAGCTTCATTTTTCCAGTAGGATTTTCCCACCTGCCAGCAAAAGATGGCTCACCGAAGCTTTGGGCTGACATGGTCCCTAATGGCAGAGAGATGTTTCCTTTCCTGTTGTCCATATCAGTTTCTCCCCAAAGACTTAGATTGGCGCTGCTGCATCCAGATGTTTCCCGATTGGCGAGGCCTGGGTCATGTGTCCACCTGTAAGGAGAGAGGCAATGCGATAGGCATGTCGAAACCACCTGAAATCTCATGGTCTGAGTGAGATTATTATAAAATGTGGGTGGAGTGGATTCCACGGGGATGCTGTCCAGGCAAAAACCAAGCAAATGCATGTCCATTACTGTTAGGTTGGATGTAACTAGGAGTAATAAATTTATAGCATCATACATGTTTAATTTATGTTTTCCAGATTATTGCCAATCATCATATGCAGTCTATTTCATTTGCCTCTGGAGGGGATCCTGTAAGTATGAATTCATTAAAGCCTTTTTTTGTAAGAGTTATAAGAACTTCCATGTAAAGCATGTTAACCACTACATGTCCTTTCCAAATATCTTATTAGAATTTGTGAATAGCTACATGTAACAGGTAATTAAAAAGTTGGGTTTGACAAAATATATCCTACCACTGATTTTTTAAATAGTTGGATTAGTAGGCGAGTGAATAGCCAGGGAGTTATCATCTGAGAAGCTTCTTGCAGGTAACATCAAAGTCATGAAACACAAACGTGTCATACATGTGTTGCCCCTCCTCCCTCAGAATTCTTCTCCACATAGAGTTCCAGGCAAATGCTACTCATCAGTTGGATTTGGCATATGAGGGGAAGCCTATCTGTCATCCATGGCAGCTAAGTGCAATCTAGAATGAGCAGCCAGGTTCCCAGAAGCTTATGGAGGTAACGCTCAGGTGAGGAGTGAGAACTGCCATTTCTTGCTACCAGGAGGCCACATGGTGCTCATTTCCCGTGAAGGTCGCAGGGCTGAGCCAGCAGTGCTCTCTGTAAGCCTACGGTGCAGCGGGGAGAGTCATGCCCTGATTTGGTACTGCGCCATTTCTGGACTACGGCAGAAGGAGAAGGGCATTAAAGCTAAGAAGCCTGTGGCTGAACAGAAAACAAATCTGTTCAACTGAGAGAGTAGAAGGAGGACTTTGCTTCTCTTGGCATCGTGACGTTTTTCTACCTGCACACATGTAGAAGGCTCGAGGAGGGCAGAGTCTGACTTTCATGATGACTGACCATCAGGCATGTCAGGAAAGTATGGGACCATATGAAGACCTGGTCCTTAACCGACAATACGTTATCTTCTTCTCTGCATTTATTATTAAAGAGCATAGCCTTCAGAAATGAGGCAATACATCCACTTGAACAGATGATTTTTTCCTCTCCACCACATTTACCTTCTCTCTTCAACTGAGGAATAAAATTTAGGGTCATAAATGATAGGACACATAACCCAGAAACCCAAGAGAGGTATCGAATGGTAGTAAACACTGAATCTGGCAGCTGTTGTCACTGCAGAGTTTTGATTGATTTTAATGTCGAGGTCAAATATTTAAAGAAAAAATAAGTCTCTCCTGAAAGGAAATGAAGTTCTGAAGATTCTGTGTAGAATCATTGCTTCCTGTACTGGCATCTCATGTATTTAAGCAAGTTCCTCCTCTTGAGTGTTGGCATAACATTTTATGTATAAAAATACATAGTTAAATGCTATTTAAATCAGCCCATTCTTTAAAACATCTCAATAACTACTTGTTTCCCCATTGGCTACCAGTGATTCCAAGTATTTAACCATGTCAAATGTAGACAACTTGCCTTCACAGCATCCTTGAAGCATATGGAAGAAAAGCAATCTTTACAGGATTTTAAATCACTGCTTCTTTTCTTTTACTGAAGAAGTACTTAATTTCCCCATTAGGCCTCATTACTTCCTCACCTTTTAGCTTTGGGTGTAGTTATTTTCAAATGAATATTTTAGTTCCGTGGTGCCACCATTTAAAAATAAACCGAATGGTAAGAGTACCACCTTTTCCCCAAGAGATTTCACAAAGGGGCTCACAGCAGATTCACGAGCAAGCAGGGGACATGCAGGGTGCCTGCCACCTACCAGCTGCAGTGTGACCCCCGATCCTGAATCTGAAGCCCCATCTACCCAACCTTATCATCTGGCCTCCCAGCGACACGAAGGGACACGTTTGGTACTGAATCCAGCCTGGAAAAGCCAGCCCCGTCTCTTCTCTCTCACACCCATGAAAGAACTCCAATACGTTCCTTAAGATACTTAAAGTAATGAGTTCTATAGGTGCCGTGTGAAAAACAAGCGCATTGCTGTTTGCCTTAAGTTTCCCCTTTTGAAAGGGTTCCTGTCACTTTTAGGATTTCCCATAAGCATTTACCGTAAGCATGCCCTGCGGGTGCTGATCGTGGTTCTCCAGGATCCCCATTACTTTTAGACCATCTGCATGTGCCTTTAGTTCTGCAGCTCTTTCAGCCCACCAAGGGGCGTGGCCCTACCGAAAACAAGCAGCAAAGAACTTGTAGCCCCTGGGACAGCCTTTACCTACCGAATGGCGTGGGACTTCTGAGCTCCCTACAGCGGGGGCCGCAGCCTGCTGGTTGGAAATTAAAACTGGAGCCTTTATAAACACCGGCACGAGAGGTGAAGTCTTCCCTCCCAGTGAAGTTTACCCTCAGTCAGGGGAGTAGAGGAGTAGAGGCTCTGGAGTCAAGTAGACTTGACCCATTTATCCTCTCTAAGCTGCAGGGCCCTCACCCGTAAAATGGGGAGGATCACCCTTACCCAGAAGGGTGGGAACTGACTGAAATGACGCATGTAAACTGCCGGTGCTTGGCACAGGGTGATGCGAGAGAGCTATCACCAATATTGCTAACACACATCCATATTTGTTTAGGATACTCACTGAGATAACGTACAGCTTCACAGCTGACTGGGCACAAGGGGTAGAAGCTAAGTCGCCATGGCCTAATGTAGTGCCCTTCTTTCTACCTTATTTTCTCCAAAGTTTAACAAATACTGGGTGTTCTTCCTTCCTTCCCGACCTTTGCTCACCCTCACCTTTACTCTCTTCTCAAAAACGGCTTACTTGTCTTCCTTCTGTCCGCCCTGGAGACATTTCTCCGGGATGCTTCTGTAGCTACATACACTTTCTCCATTTCAAAAATGCGTTAACGAGCATGACCAGGTTAAATACATTTTCTCATCGTGCCCCCTGCTATTTGTGCTTTACTTTTCACATGCTTTAAGTGCTCCCGGATAGTCACAGTTACTGAATCCTAGAGCTCTGAGACTGTTGGACACTCCGTTGAAGATGAGGAAACGGGTCTGCAGAGGTCCCAAGGCCTCGACCCCCTCATCCAATATGCCAGACACCATTGTCGGCACCACAGTGCCTCTTTAACTTTCAAAAGAGCAGCTGAGCCCCCGGCAATTGTGGCCTTCCTTCTAAATTATATTAAAACAAAGCCTGGAGATACGAACTTCCATATTTACAAGACAGTTCAAACCTTTTATCTGTTTGCATAAGAGAACTTTACCTAGAAGTGTGTTGTTTTTTAAAATGACTCAAGAAACGTTATGTAGATCCTGAGATCCGCTTCCTGTATGATTCACTGCGGGTTATTAAATGATTGTCTTTGGTGGAATTACAGACACGGGCTTTTATTTCCTGCCAGTTGATTGCATCTTCCCTCCAGAGAGTCATGCTTCTAATCTTCAAATGGCAGTGTGTATTTTTTCCCTGAGAACCGAGATAACAAAAAGCATCTTTAATTATTCAAATGTTACCATTCATCAGCTTGCTGTTTTCAATAAAAATCAGAATTACCAAGTGGCTTTTTGTTTGTTAGTTTTTAAAAAGCCAGCAACACACACCTCTCTCTCTCTCTCTCTCTCTCTCTCTCTCTCTCTCTCTCTCTCTCTCTCTCTGTCTCTCTCTCTCCTTAGGTTTTAATGGGTTCTCTTTTTTAATAAATGACTTTTCCTTCCTCTATCTTGATCAAAGAAATGCTTGTATTTCTGCTTTATTGTTCCTTAAGTTAATGTGCACTGCACGCAAGCAAGCTAACAATCACAAAATGCAAGGTGTTTCTTTAATGGAATTATTTTCTGATGCTCATGGTGTCTGTTTGGACAACTGGGACATCATGATGCCACCCACATCCAAGTTTATGACACCTTTGTGATTGGGTAACCCCTGGTATTGACTCAACACAGGATAGAGTCACAGCCCCTAATCATTTTTTAAGAATATATGCCCTAGCATATTACCTACCTACATCCTCTTTTATTCTTAGTGACATGGTCTGCCTCTAAATTTTCAATCTTCAGATTCTCTCCACAAGGGGCAGAGAAAGTGCACCCCACAATGTCTAAATCATATAAGTGTATATTTATGTTCCCTCCTAAGATGCTTTCCTTTTTTCTTTAACAAAGAAACCTTAATATTTAAGTCCTTGACTTAGTATCATGTCCTAAATGTACTCTTATCTTTCAACAGTACAATCCATTTGTTTTAAATGCAATCATTTTCCCTTTTTTATAGGATACTACAGACTATGTTGCCTACGTAGCTAAAGATCCAGTTAATCAACGAGGTATGGAAAGCAACTTCTAGATTTTCTTAAGAGCTGCTGTATACCAACTTTAAAGAGCAATAAGCCTCTATTTTCAATATACAGAGTGATGAGGATCACTAGAGTGCTGTACTGGGTTCTGGAAATACTATGTAAATTTGAGTTGGAAATAAATAGTAGAGCAAAGTAGAAAAAATATATATATACATAGGTCATTTGAGAGACCCATAAACCAAAAGTCTTATCTATTTTTTTAATCAAAAGAAAAGCTGTTTTGACTATGATAGAAAGAGCTGGACATCTTCAGTGGACAAATGAATTACCGATAATTAGCCCCAGTGTGGCTGTGTGCATGTGTGTGTGATGAACCTATGCACTTGCTGTTCAAGAGCCTGGCATGTCACTTTGAGTGCCTGGCTTCTCCTCTTTTGGATCTTAGTTTAAATGTCTCTCCATCAGAGGGACTTTGGTTGAGTGCCTCCTCTCCCCAGTCAGCCTATCCCACTCTGCAGCACTTTATTTCTCTTTTTATTAACACTTCTCCCACATTTTTATTCCTTTATTTTCTCACTTATTGATGTGTTTTATGTCTGTGTCTCCTACTAAAGGCTCAATGAGGGCAAGAACTATTTTTTCCCCTGAGCATTCATCGCAATGCTTAGCACATAGGTGGTACCCACTAACTATTTTGTTGAATGGCTGAGTGAATGGAAGAATGAGTTGATTGGATGTCTTGTCTCAGAATTTAGCAAGGGATCCAAGAAACTCAGATCCTAGCAGCACCTTGGGTCAAGGGCCTGCTGTTCCTTAGGTCATGGGACTTCTCTAGACAGAATGGTTAGTACTGCTTCTCATCCCTCACTCTGGATCATTCAGACTCCGCGTAGGGATGGGTGTGATGAGGACGCTTCTCTTCCTTAACCAGAACCCATTAGTTGGGCAGCATCCCCTGCCATCCCAGCGCTAAGTTTGCCCCAAGATGTTTATTAAATACATATGGAGTGGAATTTGGAAATTCAAAGAGCTGTGAGACTCAGAGGTGGAAATCTATATGGCATGCTGGGGAGCAAGTGAATAGGAGACAGTAGAATGTAGATTGTAAGTGAAGAAACATGTCTAAAAGGCATCGAGAGGGCACATAGAAGAGAGTTAATGAGCAGGACTTAATCCTGCGGGCGCATGGGTGGAGAAGGCTGTTGACAAAGCAGAGTTTCAGGAAGATTGGGCAGCAGGATGCAGTAGGTGGCGTCAGAGTGAAACCTCCAGGCAGGGGGATCCTACCGCAGGAAGCTGTTGTGATGGTCAGAAATGATAGTGTGGGGACCAGCTGCTGGCACTGAACCTGGCAGCCGGGAGATGCTCAGTAAATACTTGCCAGAAGAACAAGGCCCGGATAAGATGGAGAGGAAGGAACAGGTGGTGAGTACTATGCAGCACTTCATTGAAATGGGCTTGCTAACTCTGAATGATATAATGAAGAACAGATAAGTGGGCAGGAGAGACAGGAACCAGCGAAAGAAGACGGGGGTGTAGGAAGGGAGCACAACAAAGGATACCAGAAAAGAGCAACCTCTTTGAACTAAGCCCTGACTTCCCAGCGAAGAACGGCCTCCTATTTTTAGGAAGGCCTCTGAACAACAAGGCCTTTGATCTTCAGCTAAAAAGGACAGAGTGAAAGGAAGAACAAATCAGGAAATCTAGATGTTGAGTAACTTTGCCATCTGGCACCAAATATCTCTGGGCAGGTCATTGCTCCTCAGTAAATGGTGAGAGAAATGCAGGGATTAATGCTGGTTGCTGAGGGCAATGGCTAAAGAGGACCTGCCTGCTTGTGGATATCCCCTGTGCTTAAATGAGACAAGAGAGGCAGAGACAATGGCGATGTGGCTCATTCACTCGGAGAGAGCCTGCTTTGGTGTTTGAGTAACTCATCAGCGCCCCGCTGCTTAAATGGGACCCACAGGGACCCTGGCTGGGGATTCTGAAAAGGCGTTTGTGGGAGCTGTTGACTGAGTTCATGGCTGGGGTTTGAGAGACAGTCCAAATAGGGTTCAGTTTTTTCTTTCTTTAGCCTCAGACTATATAGAAAATAAGAAAGATGCTAGGTAGGAATCCTAGTTCTTCCATCGTCTCACCATAGGACCTTAGTCAAGTGGTTTGGCATCCTTGGACCTCAGTTCCTTTAAGTGGGAATAGCACATCTACTTGCTGGTGGTGTTGGGAGGAGTGACTGAGATACCACACAGAGGCGTCCTTTTCTTTCCGTCCTCACCTCATCATTCCTGTTTAGGGAAACGGGTCTATCTAGTAGATAAATGACTAAAAAACGTAGGGTAATTTTCTTGGATTGAAAGTTAGTACCTCTCCATCACTTAGTGCTCCTTTTCCTATCCCTTTGCCCCTTCTCTTATCTTGGTTATAGAACCTCTGTGAGTAGCCATTCTGTTCTCTACCTACCCCTGCTCGCAAACCCCTGCAGGTTAAATCCTGTCCCCTCACCTGAGCCTCTGGGCTTGACTTTCTGCCCAGAGATACTGACAGTTACTGATTACATACAAATACACAAGAAGCTGAGCTAATCACTGTGCAAGAAAGACAATTCCTGGCCACCATGGGCTCAGCATGTAGTGGGAGAGGGAAACATAACCGGTAGGATGTGCACAGAGAATGGGATGGGGCGCGCCTAAAGGACAGTGCCTGGAACATAGAGGTGCTGTCAGGATGTGTGGGAGAAATGAATAAAACACAGGCCACAGAGCCGGGTAGCGAGAACTTGGGATTATGTGTTCGGATGGTGTGCGTGTGCGTGTGCGTGTGCGTGTGCGTGTGTGTGTGTGTGTGTGTGTGTGTGTGTGTGTCAAGGTGGGGTTGCAGAGAAAAGGTAGAAGGAGGGGAGCCATGGCTGAGCAGATAGGCCAGAAACAGATTATGGAGGGGTTAGAATGCTGGGTCATTCAGAATGTTGCAGATTCCGAACTTTATAAAAATTACTCTGGCTTTTGTCATCCTATTGCAATGGTAAAATGATAATTTTTCTGGCGTTTATATCTGTAACAGTGATCTTGGGCAGAAAAGCAGTCTGGAACCGTAGAGTCTAGTTCAGAGGCTATCTCACTAGTTCTAAACTGCCCTGGGGAGGAAGGGCCTGTTTGGGCAAATTGGTAAACTAATACTGTAGTACTTGGGAACTGTTCAGATATGAGGGCCGATGAAGAAATAGAAATCAGGCCCGGCCAGCATGGCTCAGTGGTTGAGCCTCGACCTATGAACCAGGAGGTTGCAGTTCGATTCCCGGTCAGGGCACATGCCCGGGTTGCGGGCTCAATCCCCAGGGTGGGGCGTGCAAGAGGCAGCCAATCAATGATTCTCTCTCATCATTGATGTTTCTATCTCCCTCTCCCTTCCTCTCTGAAATCAATAAAAACATATGTGTGTGTATATATATACACTAGTATATATATATATATATATATATATATATATATATATATATATATATAAAAGAAATAGAAATCAGATAGCCCTGAGGATTTAATGAGCTACTGTATGCAGTGCAAGTATCTCAGTGCCAGGCTTATAGTAAGTATTAAACGAATGTTAGTTATTATTACTATCCTGTGTGGTCTGGAGTGCCATTGCCACTAAAGAAACAGGGATTTTTACAAATAGAAAAAAGACAAAAACCCAGTGAAAATAGGGCCCCCCAAAAGGGAAAGAAACCTACCATTTCTTGCGTGCTCTCATATGCCAGGAGCATTTTATCTGCACTGTCTCATTTCCTCCTCACAGCAACGCTGGAGGGTAGATATTACAATTATTCCTTTTTACAAATGCAAATACTGGAGCTGAGAAAAATGAGGCGGCTTTCCTAAGCTCACCAGCCAATAAGCACCGACCGACTCCAGTTCCTGAGCACAGCTTTATACAAGGACATTGCGTGGGTCCAAGAAACATTTAAAAATTTTAAAAATTTTAGCCTCGTTAGCAAGCAAAGGCACACAAATTATAATTTGATATCATATTTCATCTTCAAATTTCAAACATCGCTAAAAGGTAAAATGTGGCGTAGAGGAGCAGTTACTCCTGAACACCTGTAGCAGGAGTGTGGGTGCATATGTTTTGCAGAGCAATTTGACAATTTGCATCAAAACTTTAAAAAAATAGTTTTGAACCATCAATTTCACTTCTAAGGGAAGAATGAGGGCATGCACAAAGATTAAGCAGTAAAGATCATTGGCATATATTATTTATGTAATGGGAAAAATTCAATATTAATGAATAGCAAATTATTTAAATGAATTCATAGACTGTCCTACTGTACTGCAATTAAAGCTAGTGTTATATAAGAATAAATAATGACATGGGGAAATATTCACAATATTAAGTGCACAAAGCAGATTATGAGACAATGTGTATAATATGAGCCCCGGTAAATTTTTGGAAGTAAATACACATAGAAAAGAGATTGGAAAGGCACACGCCAAAATATTAGTTGTAGTTATCTCTGAATAGTAAGACTTTATGTAATTTTAATTTATTCTTGGTGCCTTTTTATCTAAAACAACTACAATGAATATTTTTTACATTTATAAAAGGTAAAGTGTTTTGAATTCTTAGTTAAATACAAAAATAATGGGAACAGAAAGACAATGTTAAGAAATTACCCAGTGGGTTTGGTTCATCCAGGGGGAAATGTTTAGCAGACAGGAGAATCCTGGGGGTGAGAGGGTGATAGTGGTGGGTAGAAGCAGGCAGAAAGAGAGAGAGAGAGAGAGAGAGAGAGAGAGAGAGAGAGAGAAAGAAAACACCATAGAGAGAATATGAGTTATGCCTTCTGTAGGAGCTTGGAAAAACTACAACTTCTTTGCTCTAAGGATGAGTGAGGTCACCAAAGGAAGAACCAGGAAGAAGAGGCACAGGGTGTCAGGGAGTGGGAGAAGGCAGAGGTTACAGTGGAGAGTCAGAGGAGTAGTCAGGGGAGGGGAGAAACCAGGGGAGGAATAGCAATGAAGAAGGAGGAA